CCAATAGATGCTTGCCAGGCAGGAATCGCCCCTGCCTTGGGCATGCTGGGATGGACCAGAATCTTTAAATCACCCAACTAACCTGGGCACGGGGCGCTCGGCTCCCACTGCGGCGGGGGGGGGGGGGGGGGCCAAGCTGCAGCTTGTAATTTACAATATAAAGAACCTCATGTATTTACAGCAGAGTCTGGTTATTCCTGGTCTTTTGGGGTTCGTGAACTGGGCAGAACAAGAGAAGTCACCCTGGACTGCTTGTATTTTTTACAATGAATAAATGTGCTTACAGAATGATAGAGAGGTGGTATTGAGGAGCCACTGGCAGAAATCCTGGCCATCGCCAAGCTCACTAATATATAAAGTGAGGCAAAGTCTCAGAAGAGGATTGGAGGGAAGCTGCAAAGTGGCAGGTTTTGTCTGGTAAGTAAGGAAGACCATTCTGCTAATTAACTCCACAGAAAACGCTAAGCTCCCTGTTTTAAAGAAAGAGAAAACTGAGCTCTGAGATTTCTTCCAGCCATCAAGTTGAATTTTAAGGAACAAAGCTGATGTTCAGAAACCTTTATTCAAAAGGGATGTTGCTGCTAGGCACTGAGTACTGGCTCACAACTTTAATCCCAGCACTTGAAAGGCAGAGGAAGGCAGATCTCTGTGAGTTCAAGGCCAGCCTGGTCTACAGAGCGAGTTCCAGGGTAGCTGGGGCTACACATACATAACATGTTCAGAAGTATGCATGGCACATGGGAAGTGATCAACCAACATTTGCTTGTGTTCTGCTATGATACTGCTACCATTACCATTGCCTAACACAAACCCAACAGTAAAATCTCAACAAACTAAAGTGTCACTCAAAATACGGCCTTTCAAACTTTATGCTGCCACAGATTTTTGATACATCACAGTTTGAAACAGCTGTGTTATAAAAAAGACTCAGGATTCCTGAAACACAGCTCTGGGTCCTGGGGCAATCTGGGAATACCACAAATCCTCCAGAGCTATTCGGTCCACAGTGAGCCAGCCAGCCCTCTGATCTTCCAGGAAAGGATCTCTTTTATGCATTGGCTTTTCTTTGTGCTATCTAGCCTCTCCCTAAGCCATATGAATGATAACAGGCAAGCAAGAAGGACTAACAATTGTACAAGAACGAGGAAGTGTTTAGGATGAGTGAAAGTTCAGTCCCTACTGTTGACTTAGTGTATGTCTTCAGCTCCATGACATGCTTCTTCTTTATAAAAGGAGAATTATAGCTACCTGGTCAATTTACAGAACTATCCAGTAGACCACAGAGAAAAGGAAACCCAAAGTGTGTAAATGCAAAAATAACTTCTGAGGTTGTCATGTTCAAATGCCAAAAAAAAAAAAAAAACAAAACCCTACAAAATTCTCCAAGTTCTAAAAGTACCACCATCAGCATCTACTTTTCTTCACGTTTATCATGATTTCTTCCATTTCTTAAGTTACTGTAAGGATTAAAGAAGTTCACATTCTAAATGGGGAACATCAGTTTATCTGGAGGTCACGGACACCGGTGTCTGTATAGAACCACTAGGCTAGCAACCTTAGAAGCACAATCTTAGGCTGTTTCATTTTGAAAAATCAATATTTTCATGATTAGGGTGAGCAAACATTGTTCTGGGTCATCATTTCTGGTGTACATTGCAAATGATTTCTCTAAGAGGTGACTTCCTGACTCACTATTCGCCTCCACGCTTATGGGATGCTTCTGTAGCCTTTTCTTGATAAGAACTTTGTTTTTTTTCTTCTGAATTCTTCCCTTTCCTTGAGATATTCCAGTTTGCATTCTTCATAGAAGGCTGGATCATTATAGTAAACAGTTAGACAGTCTTTCAATGCAGAATTGTCTTTCCAGAAATTTACTACCATAAGGTTTCCAGAGTCCTTGCTACATCTGCTAAAATCTTCAACTTGTTCAGAACACCTTTCTCTCGCCTTTTCTCTCATTATCTTTGAGAACAGAATATCTTTTTCAACATGTCTGAGACACTGGCCTTCAAGTTCAGTGCCATCTCGTAGAGTGAAGAAGAAGCAAGCCACTCCTTATGCTGTTTTTTAAAACAAAAGCCCCCAAGTGGAAACTAGATGGTCGCTGTTTGGTGCTCAAGAAAACTAAAGCTTAGAGAATATAAATAACTCACAGAACCCAGCATCAAAGCTGAGATTTGATTCTGTCTGCTCTTTCTTACCCCTGTTCATTGGACAGGTTCTTTACTAGCTCTCTGGTACCTCCTTCATGAGGGACTTTCCAGGATGCTCTCACACAGTCTCATCAGTGCCAAACCTATGAGCATACGGAACTGTGACACTCCATAGGAACAACTATCTACCTGGTTACTCTACAATAAATAATAAATTAAAACAGTAATGTTTGTGATCCCTACTATGTATATTAACAGGGTATTTTTTTAGCTATATTTATGTTGCAATTAAGGTTTAATACTCTGTACATGACTGCACTTGTATAAATAAAAATATAACTTTGAGGTTGTATGTCTCACCATGGTGCCTCACATGTTCAAATGACAAATGAGATCCTACAAGATATCGTGGGCAATTATATATGAAAACCACTGAAATCTACATCTTTGAGAGAAACATATTCTAATGCCCTTAAAGCAAACCATGCTTTACTTTAACCATACTTTACTTCAAAGTGAAAATGAAGAAAGAAAAAAATTCCCAAGACAGAAGAAACTGCACAGAGTTGGACAGCTCTGGGCTTACAGACCCCAGACCCATGACAAACTACCCATGTCTCTAGACAAAGCTTTCACTTTAAGTTTCTATTTCTCAGCAACACCTAACTTCACTGAGTTGCCACAAGGTCTAAATTTAGTTTTGCTGGGTGTGCAAAATGCCTGTAAGTTGTTTTAATGAACTCTTTTCTCTCTTTTATGACACTAGAAGATTACTACAAGATAGCGTTCATGAATGAGACATAAGGAAATAGTTGCAGAGCTCACTGAAATTCCAGATAAACCGACATCTCTGTAAAACCCTTGACAGCACCTGGGGCCAGCCTCACCCACATATAGAAACTAGGGTGTGGGAGAGAGTTCTCCGGAAGAAAGCACTGAAAGATGAAGTTGTGGCAACAAACCTGGACCCTTTGATGCAAGGACTTCTTGGAGCTGATGTATTAAATGAAGTTTCAGCAGATACCAAAGAGGTGAGCCTGCACTATGCACTAAAGATTGGGAACAAAGGGCTTCTCTTCTCTATCTCACCTGCCCTATAGGCCCGAGACCGTGTTCATCAGAGATAGTATAGAACAGTGTTTGGAATATGCATTCAGGTAGGCCAAAGTCCAAAGTCCAGTTCTATCCCTTGCTAGACTGACTTTAGGAAAGTTGCTAAGTTCTTCTGAGTATATCAGTTTTCTTTGGGGAATACTAATGGCACTCTCATTAAAATATCTGATTTTTGAGGTAAAGTACTTGTATGAGGTGGTTCAGAACTAAAAATAAAAACCAATGTATTACACAGGATCTGTGAAAAGGTCCTTATAGCTTAATACTCATTATTACTGATAATAAATTATATAGGAAAGTTTGCCATTTGAATAACATTTGGAACATAAAATGCTAGAGAAATGAACCAATGTAAAAACAAAAATCAGGAAAACCAAGAGACTTGGGTGGGGCCTCTGAGGCGAGCTATTGTCTGAAAGCTTACTTTCACTGTCATCTGGAACAGCCATTATCTCCTCAAAATCCTTTGCTCATCTAACAGTCTTGGACAGTCAAAGGAATTCGGGGTATATGCTTGTTCCACCTCTAAGACACCCCTTTGGTGACACTGACGGTCTAGCCAAAGTTGAAAAGTCTCAGACTCACATCAACCACAAAATGATTAACTTCTTAGAAGCCTTGCCCTTAGGGAACAGCGGCCTGTCAAGGCTCAGGGAGCCACCTCCGGTGTCAGCACCTATGGATTCCTTGGTGAACCACACCCTACTTCAGCTCTCTGTGTCAGCATCCTTCCAAAGATCACCACATTGCTGTCTGTATGGCTTTTGCATTTCTGCCCTAAATTATATCACAACTCAGCTCTTCCCTTTTCAAACTCATTTTATCATCTCACCTGTGAAGTAAAAGATCAGTAACAAAGAGAATTTAACTTATCAGGAAAATAAGGAAATCCCAGATGAGCGAGAGCCAGATCTGAAGATCTAAAGGGGGAAAACACAATAGTAACAGGGGTTGTTCTCTCAAAACTGACAGTTAATGGCAAAAGAGTAATATTGTTCTGTGTTTCCTTTTTTTTCTTTTGAGAGTCAGGATCTCGCTCTGTAGCCCAGGCTGACCTAGAACCCTAGGATCCTTCTACTTCAGCTTCCTGATTGCTGGGCTTGCAAGCGTATGCCACTAAACGTGGCAACATCAAACCTTGATCAAAGGTACTTCTACATTACCATACACATATTTTCTTTCTGCAATGGTTAATAGAACTTACCACCACCTAAAGCATTCTTTTGTGTTGTTGTTGTTTTGTTTTTAATCTTAGCAATCAAGTTGCCTAAAACATCTCAGTTAATGAATGGCCAAATTGTACCTTAGACCAACAAAGTGGAATGTAAACACTTAAAAAGAGATGCTACTTTCAGTTTGGCATAAAAGTGAAATTCTGCATTCTAATCTTGTGATTATGGTGTGTGTAGAGCAACACTCTGAAGAATTTGTACAGTTTAGAGTACTGAGAAATTACTGGCAATATTCAAGCCAACACACCTCGTTAACATATATAATTTGTTATTCAGAAAAAAATGATCATAGGAAATATAGATGATACCATAGCATCAACATATTAACATAAAAGATATGAAGGATATCACAACATCAATACATTTACAGAAGTTATGTATAATGTCATGATTAATCTTGTACAGGCTTGTGCTAAATTCACTTGCTTCACATACATGTACACATCATACTCACAGATGAAAACATGGCAAGGACTCCCGGCTAGTGCACTCTTTTACTTACCATCCTATAATTTTTTTGTACAGATGCCGTTTCTTGTATAAGACAACTTTTATGGGAACCCAGATCAAGAGACTCACTACAGCCACATAGGCAATGGAGCAGGAAACGATGAGCCAATAGTGCGTCCTGTCAGGTGAATGCTTTGTCCTCTGAGAGGCAGCTGCAAACTGTTCCATTATCACCAGGGTAGGGACAGAGAAGGCAGCAAACTCCAGCAGCTCAAAAACCAGCAGCTTGATTACTTTGCCAGAGGCCATCCTGAGAGGTGGCGAGCAGCAGCCAAGGACCTGGCACTCCCCTGTTGACTGTGAGCAGCATATGAACACATACTGGCATCAAGTTCCTTGTACTCGAATCACTAGCCAGTGGTTTTATTCTTTTATTGACCCTCATATGGTTCAATGATCTGAGTTAACAGTCATCATTCTCTTAAAGAGACAGAACCACTGTGGGAGTGAGCAGTAATTCCATTTACACGTGCCTATTACAAGTCAGATGAACTGTCAGGCAGGCAACACTGCTAAAAACAGAAGTTGGGTTGTGTTGTTGTTTTTTAATGTAACGTTTATGGCTAATTTTGGCACAGAATTCCTTCATATAATAGACAGCCCTTATTAGATAGGACCACTAGATTAATGTGATTCTAGACTTAAAAAGAATATATTTCATTTACTAGATTATGTCCATACTTCCAAGCTCCTGCTTTTATATATATAAGTAAACTCATGCAGGGAGGCACTCAAACTCCAAGCCTTTGTCTTCAAAACTACTCTTTATAATTCTTCAAAGTTCTGAAGAAGGGAGTTTGCACTTATTTTATCAACTTCTTAACCGGGATCCCTCCTGAAACAGTCTTCATTCATTATTCCATGTACTGGTGTGCAACAAAAATTTGCGCTATTTGTCATTCACTGATCTGGAAACTGTCACACTATTATGAGAAGCACGTTGCCAGGATTTGTAATTTCAGAGCTCTTTATCTTGTCTAAAAAAAAAAAAATCACATGAAATACATAAAATGGATTTTCGTCCATGAGGAATACTTCCTCCATAGAGCTTATTTGAGGCCCCATGGTTATCTTCTTCCTAGGTATTATGGTGTGAACATGAATGACAGGGCTCTTGCTCTGAAAGTGTTCATAGTCCAATAAGAGAGAACAAACCTATAAACAACAACAGAGCAAAGGCCAAAAGTATAAACTACATGACACAGTAAAGCTGAAGTGTAGGACAGCTTCGTCTTTGTGCCATGAGAAAGTGAAGGAAAGATAAAGGCTGACTAAGATGAATGAGGGGTGTGGGTGCCTCTGCAGACAGAAAACCACAGAAGTGAGGGAGCTGCAGGGCTAGCAGGGGCTAGAAGGTGATGCCAGCATCCTCCACTGAGTCCCCCCAAAGTAAATGTCCTTTATGTGTAGAGCAGTGACATGGAAAGCATTAGAAAAAGTGATGTTTTCTTTTTTGTTTTGTTTCTGTTTTGTTTTTTGAGACCGAGCTTCTTTGTGTAGCCTTGGCTGTCCTAGAACTAGCTCTATAGACCAGGCTGGCCTTGAACTCACAGGGAGTTCTTGCCTCTGCCTCTGAGTGCTGGGGCGAAAGGTGCGCACCACCACCACTACTGCTTGGCCTTAATGTTTTCTTTTTTAATTTATTTTCTAGTCTCTCTCTCTCTCCTTGTCCCTCCCTCGCTCCCTCTCTGTGCATGTGTGTGTTCAGGAGTACAGACAATTGTAGGCCACCTGATATGGGTGCTGGGAACTGAGCTTGGGTTCTCTGCAAGGGCAGTATTCTTAACCACCTAGCCATCCCTCCAGCAGTGACACTCCCTGTCCACACAGAGCCCGATACTACGTGAATAAATGTTGACTATATCGCTATCCACTGGATATCTAACATATGCAAATCTCTACAGTCCCAATGGGAAACAATGCAAACGCACAGTCAAACCTGGAAATCTTCATAAAATGTGCTGGATGAATCTAGGCTGGGGAGACATTATGCCCAATTCCTCCTCCACCCTCCTTTAGCCACATCTAGCTGGACAAGGGGGAATGGGTTGTAGACCACACAGAAACCTACCTAAGACCTGAAGTCCCCTTCGCCCATCAGGCTCTTTCTTTTGGGAGTGTGAACTAAGAAACATGGGGCGTACCCTGGCTTGTTTCTGTTACTACAATAAAGCACTAACAAAACTAACTTGTGGGGAGGGGTGTCTCATCTTACAGCTTACAGTCCACCATGAAAGGAAGTCAGGGCAGGAACTCAAGGCAGGGGTCTGGAGGAAGGAGCTGAAGCAGAGGCCATGGAGGAGTGCCACTTATTGGCTTGGACTCCCGGTTCATTTTCGGCTATGCTTTCTTATACTTCTCAAGGCCACTTGCCCGGAGATGACACCACCCACAGTGGGCCAGACCTTCTCTTATCAATCATTAATCAAAACGAGAACATGCCTTGTGGACTTGCCTGCCTGTGAGGAATAGAGGAAGCCCCGAGTGTATAGAGGCCTGAGTAAATGTGTTATTGGCATGGGCACGGGCATATCAAAGGCCTTATGCCTTGGATCCATAGGCAAAGCCTTCTCTCCCCTCCCCCAGGTGGGGCTCAGAGTGGCGAAGCACATCTGGTCCATGTGGATGCTGGGAGTGCGTGCAGAGAATGCCCACACACACACCCCACAACCCACGCCAGATGTTTAGAGCCTGAAGACTATTCCTCCACAGAAACTGCTCCTACCTTTAGTCAGCCACGTGCAGTAATCCCGCTGTTCAACTGTATACACTAAACACGGTGAGCTCCCTGGGTACCGTGATTTCTCCTTCTGAGATCCCAGGCTAACTGATTGCAGTTTTTCCATATCCTTGAGCCCACGTGTCGATCATTTTTTTTTATTCCCTGTCAGGTCAATCCCTGGCAGCCATATGGCTCAGTCCCTACAGGGTGATCTGATGAAAGCATTTTCTCAGTTGAGATTTCCTCTTCCTAGATGCCCCAGTTTGTCTCAAGTTGACAAGAAACAAACCAGCATCAGAAGAACTGGGTAAGGTAGAAAGGTCATGATTTTCAGTCAGAATTAGAGCAAGCTTAACTAACTGTATAAATTCAAACTATCCCGACACATTGTTAATATTTGATCACTGTGATGGCTCATTTGATCATCAATTTGACCTAGGAGGCAAACCTCTGGGCATAGCTATGTGAGATTGTCTTGCTGAGGTCAGCCTCTGGCCATGACTGTAATGGTGGGGTGGTTTGAATTTGTATGCACCCCACAGACTCATATTTGAATGCTTAGGGAGTGGCATTAGGAGGTGTGGCTTTGTTGCAGGAAGTGTGTCACTGGGGGTGGGGTTTGGGGTTTCAAATGCCCAACCAGGCCCAGTGGCTCTCTCTTACTGTTGCCTGTCAAACTAGATGTAGAACTCTCAGCTCCTTTTCCAGCATCACAGTGTCTGCCTGCACACTGCCATGATTGTAGGCCTGATAATAATGGACTAAACCTCCAAATCTGTAAAACAGCCCCAACTAAAGGTTTTCTTTTGTAAGAGTTTGCTGTGGTCATGACATCTCCTAACAGCACTAAAACCCTAAGATAAAGAGATGATCTCAGTTAGGCTCAACGAGGTGGGAAGGCCTGCCTGTGAGGTATGTATAGTGTCATCCCGGGTCCCAGACTGAACACGAAGGAGGGAGCCAGCTAACCACAAGCGGTCATCTCTCTCTGCTTCCTGATTGGGAATGGACTGTGACAACTGTCTCAAGCTCCTGCTGCTGTAACTTCCCTTCCATGATGGACCATATCCTCAAACCATGAGCCAAAATAATCCCTTCCTCCCGTAAGTTGCTTTGGTCAATATATTTTATCACAGCAACAGAGAAATTAGCTTAGACAGCTAAGACAGTAACTATGTGATGAATGAATAAATGAGCAGAGGCCAGGTGCAGAGGGAACAGAAGATTCAGTAAAAGGATGATGTTAATCCAGAGAGTAAAATGACTAGGAGAGACTGATAAGGAGTAAGCAGAACAAGAAACATACATCTTAGTGATGCCTCAACTGTTCATACAAACCCTTAGGAAAGAGAGTCATTGTTCTTTGTTTACATGTACATGTGTGCATGCAAACAAACTGAATGCACACACACACACACACACACACACACACACAGCTTGCTGCGAACATTAAGAAAAAGAGGTAAGGTTTAGGTGCGAGGGATAAATAACATTCAGAACTGACATGTGCAAAAGCTGATGGTTCAGAAGGAAAGACAACACCGAAGGAAATGTAGAAAGCGGAGGATGATTCTCTGAGCTGAGTCTGGACCTCTGCTGCTCCTGACTCAAAAGCATTAGCTCCTTACTGCTGTGGCATTTTCTTTGTGTGGGGCAATGGAGAGGCACCTCCTTTGAAAACTGTTGCTAAGAGTGTTTGTGTTCTACAGACAGAGCCGGAGGAGGTGGAAGAAGTGAGGTGCAGAGACTGTGATTAACACTAAAAGATGGGGACACAACCTCATCTTTGCTTTAAAATGTTGTAGTTTTAGATACTCACATATATTTAAAGTCAGAAAGATACCCATCAAACTAATAGTGTTAGTGCCTGGGACATGGGGAGAGCAATATACAAGGGAATTGAAAAAGAAATTCCACTAGTATCACGTCATCTAAATATTTCATAAACCTAAGGAGTTAGGAGAAAAATTTACAATAAGAAAAATATATTTAAAAATCACTACAATCGGGCTGGAGAGATGGCCCAACAATTAAGAGCTGTTCTTGTGGAGAACTCAGGTGTGATTCTCAGTACCCATTCACAGTAGCTCTAATTTCAGGGGATCTGACACCCTCTTCTGGCCCCCAAGGGCGCAAGTGTGCGTATGGTACACAAGCACTCAGTCAAACACTCGTAAGCATAAAATAAAAATAACGTTAAAAGAATTATTGCAATTGAATGAAGTTTGCAATAGATGTATGTATGTATGTATGTGTGTGTGTGTGTGTCTTTCATTTACCAATTTACTTCCCTCAGTTTTCCTTATGCAGAAGCCAGACAAACAAATTTCACTTCCACTTAACCTATGAATGGAAAAACTAACCAGAAGCCAACAGCCACGCAGCCAACACCCAGCAGGAGAAAGGTGCATCACAGCATCTCCTGGATTGAACTGTGTTGCTGTCTCCTGTTCTGGCAGGAGAGCTCGGAAACGCTGCCTCCATCCTTTGACGCTCACCCTAAGGACTTCTCCTGACCAACCTTTCTCTAGTCACTTTCTGCAAGCAGAATGAGGCATTTCCTCCTTTGCACCAAATACTCCTGGAGACCTCCTCCGTTCACAGTTTTATCTGACTCTACCCTGGTTTGCAGGCGGGAGCGCCACAAAACCCTTGAAAGCAGG